GAGTATCAGTCACATGGAGGCAGGGCTTAAAAGCCTGAATTTTGCCTGAAACTCTCAGACTGAAGAAGTCTCTTGGAAGAGAGATGAAATGTTTCATTAGAGAAGAACCCGTCCAGAAGACCTATACAATTTTTTTCTTTTGTCTTATTGAAAGCCTATCATTCATTTTAGCTAATGTTTTTGCTACATTTAGCAAAATATAGCTAACTTTGCTATTCTTTGCTACTTTAACATTTAGCTAACATTTTATTTTAAGCCTTCATTTTTGTTGTGTAATGATGTCGCAAGAATCACTGCATTTCTTTTCTTTTCTTTAATCATTTTAGCCCTTTTTATTGTACTTCATCTGACAATTTTTAGATTTTCTACTGTATAGCCATTGTAAAGACACTAAACACTGATAATTTGCCGTTTTCTTCTGCTCTCCTCTTCTGCAGCCCATGGATTTAAGTTGGAATCCGTTTTCTTGTGGCGGTCTGTACATGTCGGCCCCCAGTCTGGTGGAGAGGCTCAGAGGACGTCAGTGTCCAATCAGCAGTCAGTTCTTCACCGCACTGGCTTTGTGTCATACTGTCATGGCAGAGGGAAAGGATGGTGAGGGTGTTTGTGATGACATCGAATGAGCTCAGTTTTGATATTTGATGAAGCTGATAATTATGTTTTGCCAYTTATTTTTGGAAAATTTACTTAAATGTAAAAAAATTTAAATAAATAATAATTCTTATCTTCAAAGCCTAAAGTTGGCTTGCTTCTAGATAAATGTCAGACCTCTGACCTTAATGTACCTTCTCATTAACGTTTTGCTCTGGTCACATTCCTCCAGACACCCTAGCTTACCAGGCAGCATCACCAGATGAGGAAGCTCTTGTTGGAGCAGCCAGGGAACTTGGCTGGGTCTTTCTTTCCAGAACAAGAGATTTTATCATTGTCTCAGAGTTGGGTGTCTATCACCAATATCAGCTTCTGGCGTTGCTGGACTTCACCAGCAAAAGAAGATGCATGTCAGTCCTGGGTGAGTGGAGCTCTCTTCAGTGCCTTCAGCTTTCTGTTTCCTCTGTTTAAACGTGTCAAGTTGTCCTCAATTTCTTTCAACTCCTATAAACCCACTCTGTGTAAATTCATAATGGTCTTGTGTTGTTATAGTGCGGGAGCCAGACGGAGGAATCAAACTTTATTGTAAAGGAGCAGATACAGTGATCCTTGAGCGACTACAGAASGACTGTCCATATCAAGATAGGACAGTGACAGCACTGCAGGTAACAGTGGTCTTTTTTAGAAAACATTTCTAAAAATAATTGGTATGGCTCATTTTAGTGATTAAAATCTGTACAAAAAAATGAGGGGGACTCAATGTGCAACTTTCTCCTTTTCTGCTATAAAAGGTATAGTTTGAACTGTTGATCTGGACATCACCTTAGCTACTACAGCTAGTGACGCGCACCCACAGGTGCCATTATCATGCATTGAGTCATGTCAACAAAACCATAGAGTTCCAATGAGGGATGCACCATAATCTGTCGCAAAAATATTTGTAGTGACCTTATTTCTTATCCGATTTCTATAAAATATGGCTTAAATTAAAGCTGAAGAAAATTGCCGATGTTGTGATACATAAAAATGTGTATTCTCCCAAGAGATAAATCTATGAGCAGTCTGGGAAGTTTTCAATATAGGTTTTTGTTCATGCATTTACTGTACAAGCCACGTTCCACTACCTAAAACTAAACAATGACACATGTATTGAGATTCAATGATAATTTAGACTTTCAGTCAAAATCTGAAATGATTGTTCTTAAATTAGGAAACTGAAGAATAGAATTACAAGCTCCACTTCAATTTGTATACAGTTAGGTCCATATATATTTGGACACTGACACAAATGTTGTCTTTTAACCTGTTTATTGAAACTTATTGAAGTTATAGGTATATGATATGCATGGACATAAAGTCCAGACATTCAGCTTTCATTTGAGGGTATCCACATTCAAACTGGATGAAGGGTTTAGGAGTTTCAGCTCCTTAACCTGTGCCACCCTGTTTTTAAAGGGACCAAAAGTAATTGTACAGTTGACTCCAAGGTTATTTCATGGACAGGTGTGRGCAATCMCTTCGTYATGTCATTCTCAATTAAGCAGATAAAAAGCCTAGAGTTGATTTGAGGTGTGGTGCTTGCATTTGGAAGGTTTTGCTGTGAAGTAAGCATGCGGTCAAAGGAGCTCTCAATGCAGGTGAAACAACCCATCCTTAAGCTGTGAAAACAGAAAAATCCATCCAAGAAGTTGCTACAATATTAGGAGTGGCAAAATCTACAGTTTGGTACATCCTGAGAAAGAAAGAAAGCAATAACGCATAAATGTGAAAAAACTCGGATGCCCACAGAAGACAACAGTGGTAGATGATGGCAGAATAATCTCCATGGTGAAGAGAAACCCTCTCACAACAGCCAACAAAGGGAACAACACTCTCCAGGAGGTAGAAGTATCAATATCCAAATCTACCATAAAGAGAAGACTGCATAAAAGTAAATACAGAGGGTTCACTGCACGGTGCAAGACACTCATAAGCATCAAGAATAAAAAGGCTAGCATGGACTTTGCTAAAAACATCTAAAAAAGCCAGAAAAGTTCTGGAAGAACATTCTTTGGAYAGATGAAACCAAGATCAACCTCTACCAGAATGATGGAAAGAGAAAAGTATGGCGAAGGCGTGGTACAGCTCAGTGGCRGCTGGTGGATTTTTCTCCAGGGGTGGCTACAACTCCAAAATACATATCTCAGAAAGCAATCAAACGTATGGAGCCTGCGAGGGGACATGGGAGATTTTTTTCTTTTGCGTTCCCACGCAATAGTATTGTGTTACCTCGCAATACTTTTGCGTTCCCTCGCAAAAGTCGTTTATCACTGTTGTGCCTGCCGGTTTATTAGCAAACTCACATGTTCATCATTAGTGAGTTAGCCTACTGCTTTAATTCAGCTTCAGAATGAATATATCACACAGCCACGCATGGAAGAATGTCATATGCCGATAWTTTAACACAGTGCAGCCACGCAACATCAATGTCAATTTCACGAACTTGTGGCGACACATCCTGTTTTGGTAACCGGATATTTCAAAAWWAAA